CTAGGCACTTGCCTCAAGTTGTGAGTATAATTTTTTTGTGTCCCCCCTCCCTTTTTTTTTTTTTTAACTTGGACCAAATTTTTTTCATCAGAATCCCATCTGGCACCATGTGCCTGTGAGCCTAACCTTCGGGTGGATAAGGAGGGATCGTGGGAGACGGAGGTCAAGCCGGGCTACAAATGGAGAATGTGTCTTAAATAAGAAAAATCAAAACAAAATAAAAATCATTAGAAGAAAGGATCCCACACTCCCTTTAGGAACTCTGGCTTAGGTAGGAGACAGACAGTTGGGTTTCTCTGTGTTTATATCAAGAAAGCATTTTACTAGGAATAATTTACTAGAGAAACAACCATGTAAGTTTATGCACATGGTCCCAGAAATGCACTCAAGAGGATTTTAAAAAACAAGAAAAAATGTACTATGTAGAAGGATTTAGGCATTATGCTGGCCTGTCCCAGTCACCTGGCAGAATGCACTCAGGCAGTACCCTGGTCAGCCCAGGCTTCCATGGAGGTTCAAAGAACTCCTTTAAGAGAAAGACCCCGCCCACTTAACGGTCTCTCGGCCTGTTCATCTCTTTCTGCTCTCTTCTATTTCCCGCTCCTCTCTTTCCACTCACTTTCCTGCTGTTCCCCTGGGGCAGACTGGACTTTCCCCAATTCTCCCTTCTCTCCTGTCCTCTCTCTTTCTGTGTGTCTCTTTATCTCTTTTCTCTTCCCTTCCCCCTTCCATCTCTGTTCCCAGTTAGCCAGCACCTACCCTTCCCTTCGCTCCCTTCCCAGTAAACTTCATGTGGGTTTGTTGAGTTTTGTGGTCCATCATGTTTCAGCACCTGCAGAAGCTGCAGCAAAACAACACTTAGTAACACCATTTTTTCCCCCTGAGACAGGGTTTCTGTGTGTAACTTTGTAGACCAGGTTGGTCTGGAACTCAGAGATCTGCCTGCCTCTGCTTCCCAAGTGCTGGGATTAAAGGCGAGCACCACCACTACCCGTCCAGTAACACAATATTAAACTTGAGTTCAACAATGGAGCAATTCACCTGCAGTAACCAGTGCAGATTAATATAGATTCCAATACAGCTTCTACACTCCAAGCATCCTATAGTGTTTGTGTGTCACACACTTAAGTGAAAATATGAGTCTTTGTAACCATATCTTGGTATTTCTGCTTTTCACCCTTCCTCACTTTTATGTGAAGTCCCTTAAAATACACAAGCAATTCATGTCTACCTGGACTTTTAAGGGGCCCTTCTGCCAATATTCAACCCCCCTTTTTTATTTTAGAAACAATCTTATTTTACATATCAATCACCCCATTCCCTCGACCTCCCATCTTCCCATTTCCCCCCACCGACCCCCCAACCTACCCCCACTCACTCCCCAAGGATAGTGAGGCCCTCTGCAGGGGATCATCAAAATCTGTCACATCATCTAGGGGAGGCCTAAGCTCTCTTTCGTGTATCTGGGCTGCAATAGTATCCCTCCATAGGGAATGGGCTCCCAAAGTCCATTTGTGCACTAGGGATAAACACTGGCTCCATCCACTGTTAGAGGTCCCATAGACTACCCTGGCCCCCTAACTGGCACCTACGTTCAGAGGGCTTGGTTCCGTCCAAACACAGCTAATGCTGCCCCACACATTCGTGGCTTTAGAACAGGAGCCCTCACTGCTCTAAGGCTCACCTTGCCAAGGCAATTTACTTTTAAAGGAAGAACATGGTGTGTCTTTTTCTCTCCGTTTCTTTTTAATTTATGTCCTTCCCAGGGCTTAGTAGGAAGAGTAAGTCAGGGACTTTCTTCATGAAACATGTTATCTAAATTCCCCAGGTATGGTTATCATCAACCCCTAGAAAGGCTATTTTTTCAGGTAATGGACAAGGTTGGCTGCCCTTGGTTACACTGGTTACAAGGGGAAACAATTTTAGGTAAACTAATTACTACCAGTTGCCAGGGAAAGCACTCTGTTATATTTGTAGCAACCTGAAATCTACACTATAATATATAGATCATAGCTTGCTTACTGGAACATTGAATAAGTCATAACTCATGTAATCCCCATTGGTTTTCTAAGACAGCTGGCACTCTATTTTGTTGCTGTTTCATTTGTTTTTGCTTTTTAGATAGAGCCTTGCTACATAGCCCAGACTAGTTTTGAACCTGCCTATATCCCGTCTCAGTATCCCAAATGCTGCAATTAAAGACATGGACCATCATGACAGTCTGCATACAGATACTTATAAGAGCTGATGGGTTTACCACTGATGTAATCCAGGTTGGATAAAGAGTTCAGCCAACTCTCTATGAGTGTCTTTAGCAAATGCCTAAAAGGTATGCAGGACCTATGCTTGATCATTGTAACACTACATGAATGATTTTTAAGATGCTGCTTTATTTTCAACAAATTAAACATTATAATCCCAACTATCACAGAGAATGTTACAATACAAGGGTTGCAACAGAGTAAATTTTGGAGGGATCATTTCTAAAAACAAAATGTGAGTATGTTATATATCCCATCATGCTGTTTCAATGGAAAATTAGTTGACATCCTGTAAAAAAGAAAAAAATGAATTAGATTCATATATATATGAATCTGGGAATAAGTACATGCAATGCTTCTATAGACATTTCTATGAATTTTTGTTATAGCATAATAACATCGGCAATTGAGATATTTCCCAACTGTTCTTCAGTCCCCACCCCTACCCCATGTATATCTTACCATTTATCACTTAATCACTCTCTGATGGCACATTTATTTTACTGCTGTGGAATAATTCCTTGGTACACCATGCAGATTTGTTGCTGTGATTGGTTTAATAAACAAGCTGACTGGCCCATAGGTGCACAGAATAAAGTTAGGCAGGAAAGCCAGGCTGAGAATGCTGGGAAGAAGAAGGGAGGAATCGCCAGCCAGCCAGAGAACAAGTCTGACACACAAAATGGGATAGAGGTAAAAAGCCATGAGCCTCAGGGCAGCTCATAGATGGATAGAAATGGGTTAAGCTGTAAAAACCACTTAGTAACAAGCCTGAGCTATTGGAAGAGCATTTATAATTTATATTAAGTCTAAGAGTCAGTTAATTGGGAAGTGGCTGATGGTTATTTGGGAACAGACAGGGCAGGAAAACTACATCTACATTCTTCACATATGTATGTCTCAATAGGTTATAATTAATAATATCAAAGTAGTTGACTAAAAGCTCATCAGTTCCAATAAGAATTATAAGTGTTTCAAGTTTTTCCTACATCCACCTTAGAGCATGGCCCAATTCATCTATAAGCTTATTGAGAAGGCCCTGCACTGCTGAATGCTGCTGTGACTTAATCCAAACCTCAACTGGCCACATTTTGGATCTATACCAAGGTTAAGTTGGTCCTCCAACTCCTGCTAAGATTCTTACAACTATTCAGATGGTGAAAAAAAGTCCCAAGTGCTGAAACTGTGAATTTCAAAGAGTTCACAGTTAAGGAAGCCATGCTGAATGGCTTGGTTGCCACTGAGGTGTGGATGAGATCATTAGTAAATGTGATGTTATTGGGTATATTTGAAGACTGACCCTTTATATCTGATTTTATTTAAGTTCTTATTTGAATATTCTTGGACCACATGTGATGAGACTGGGTTCTTAAAATAAGAGCTATCAAAAAAGTTTTTCTTGTTAGTTTATTTTTATGTCTGCCATGATATCATCCAGACTTTATACTTATTTTCTTACTGTTATCAGGATAAAACAAGAGATTAGGCAATCAAATGACAAAATTGAGAGGGAAATGACTGTTAAAATATGATTCTATTTGAAAATAAAATTCTAAGCAAAATAGACTCAATAGGCCCTACTCTCAGGAATAGATCACAAAGCTGTATGTTCTTAACTTCAGAGAGAAGTTCATGCTAAATTGATCAAATTCCATTTCATTTTGTGAATGTGTGCAAAGTGTTCTTGGTGATTTTTACTTCTCTAGTTGTTTTAATGTCTGTCTTTTCATTTCTGTTTTTGTACATTTATTCTTTTGTATTTTTTCTAGAAAAAGCTGGGTGAAATAACTTATTATTTTCAAAGACTTCTTTGCTTTAAGAAATTTCTGCTCTGCTCCTTCCTTTTGATTTTTTTTAAGAACTTGTGTGTGTGTGTGTGTGTGTGTGTGTGTGTGTGTGTGTGTGTGTGTGTGTGTGTTGTGTTTTTTTTTGTGTTGTTTTGTGTTTTTTCCCCCAGTGA